TGGTTCAAGCCAAACAGCTCAATTCCGCTCCCCAGCATGCTAACGGTCCGACCTTCCCTAACTCTTACTGCACGTTGGATGCACCTTTCCTTCCCGCCTACTTTCTGACTTTGCCCCCACAAGCTTCTCTGTTTCCTCCACGTGCGTCTTCTTTCCCTGCAGACATTCCTAGTTTGCTTTTTTCCTGGTTTTGTCACAGAAACTATTGCTCCAGTTTCCTGAGGCTTCTTAAAACTCCCCTGGTCCTGCCCTGGGGCCTCTCTTTCTTTCCTTCCAAAGGCTTGCTTTTTCCTACTCCGTTTGGGAACAGTTTGCACAGTTAATAATTAGTGGGGTTTTTTTTTGTTTGTTTTTGTTGCTCCTATACTGGCTTCCTGTTGCATGGGTCTGCACAGTTGCATACCTCTACACAGGTGTGAACCTCTATATACTTGAGTACCCCTGTATGGTTGCTCCCTAGAGAGTCGCCTTTGCCATCGATAAAGCGTGCTGTGTGTCTAGATTTCACAAAGTGTCAGTAAAACATGAACTTGGAAATATTTTTCTTCAGTTTTGTAATTTAAGAGAAACCAGAGCCAGGAAGGGGTGGCATACCTTTAATCCCCGCCCCTACCCCCAGCACTTGGGATGCAGAGGCAGGAGGATGTTGGCCTTCAAGGCCAGCGTGGTCGCTGGAGTGAGTTCTAGGACAGCCAGGGTTACATAGAGAAACCTTGTCTTGAAAAACAAACAAACAAACAACGATAATAAACTCCAAAGCAAGGAAAGGAAAGGAAGAAACTGGAAGATATACCACTGTTTGACAAGCCTGCTTAGTTAGAGGGCATCCTCCTGGAGACAGTTTTCAATAGTTGTGGGACAACTGGACTCAAACAGGTGTCTAGGTGCAGCCCATCATGAGCAGGCCCTTATGGAATGCATGGGAAGGAAATAGAACCCTGCCCGTTAACCTCTGCTCTGGGTATGTTGATAGTGTGGTTCGGGAAGCAGGCTGGTAATTAGATTTGGAAATGATGCTGCAGAAATCATGATTTCTAGCATCGGAGGAGAGCTGCACCTTCCACCCACCATGGCTACACACTGTAGAAAGCTGTGTGTGTGTGTGTGTGCGCATGCGTGCGTGCATGTGTGTGTGTGTGTGTGTGTGTGTGTGTGTGTGTATGTGAGAGAGAGAGAGAGAGATGGGAAGGAGGGATTAAGGCTCTCCTTTCTTTTCCTACCCAGTAAAGGCTGGGGGTTCTGGCTGGCCATTGGGTAGCTTGAGTAGAAGGATGGAAGCCTACTTCCGACGTTGGGTTAAGTGGGGCAAAACATGGCGAACAAAAGGAGTTTGAAGTGTGAGGGCCGAAGGAGGAGTGAGGATTTGTCACAAGGAAGACGAGGCTGCTCGTGTAGGGGCCGGCGACTCAATTCATTTGTTCAGGCCCTGCAATGTAGTGGAGCCCAGGAGATGATTTCCATGTGACTTTAAAGTGAGATATTTACATGCTTTGTATATGGGTGCACATGCTTATATCATACTTGTTAGGTGTGTGTGTGTGTGTGTGTGTGTGTGTGTGAGTGTGTGTCTTTGCTACTTTGTATGTTTATTTCATAATAGTTCAATACATGCTTTTTAAAGAGATGTTTCTACTAAGTTACACGAACGATTATTTTTGAAGATGAACTGACGTTTGAGTTTTGTAAGTTATCAGTAGAATTTGAAGATGACAGAAATACTTTTAAAAGTGATCCAGATAATTCCAAGAATTTATCAGCCGTTACGCACTTGACCACGACAAATGGCTGGCTCTAACTGAAAATAAAATAAGATTGAAGCCCAAAGAAGCCTTGGATTGAAACTAATGCCCCCCCCCCCCGAATCCTTCCTTGTATGTGTGTTATGTGAAAAGTCTTTTCCCTTTTACAAAACCCCATTATGTTTTTCTTTTTTCTGTCTTGCTCATTAAGTCACCAGGCGGCTTCAAATCTGAACGACTTATTCCAAAGATTCAGCCTTTACTTTTGTCTTGACATGTTGACTAAAGAAAGATAAGATACATGCTTCCAGTTCAATGCATTTGTAAATGTATTTGGTTCAGAAAGGGCTGTCACTTTAAATGTGGCAGCGATGAGTAATTTTCCTCAGGGTTTACAGAGCAACTTTTGATAACTGTTACACTCGGTTTCAAAACACAAAATGAAACAAAACCAAAACAACTCAATCCGCACTTCTAAATTGGCCGAAACATAATATGAGCTAAATACATGTGGTTTTCATGTAGCATGTACATGTGTATGATTTTCTGAAGAGCTCATGCCAGAGAGCTCTCTGGTTCTTGTTTCTAAAATATTCTATCTAAGAGGTGCTGGTTGTGGAGATCATTTCTGAGAGTCTCTGGGTTTGTTTGTATGGGTTTAGATCTTTTTAATCACCGAGGCCTCCACTCTCCTTTCTCTTGCTCTTGGGCAGGTTTCCTATAGGGATTCCGTGATTACCCAACATATCGACTTCTCTAGGAAGGTTCGGTTATCTCAAGTCATAAGGCCAGTGGTTCTAAGAAAGGCATCAGCATCTGTGATTAGAAATTGTCATTTCTCTTGCTGTTCTTTGTAAGTGTATATACACACATATAATTTTAAGATAACATTATAATTATTTTATATAATATTTAGATATAATATATGTATGTCATTTTTAGGGACGAGGTCTAACGTATCCCAGACTGCCTTAAAACTGTAGTTGAGGATTACCTCAAACTTAGTGCATAAGATTCCGGGTAAGGGTGACACTGGATATATTTTAACATTGCTTGTTTTGGTTTTCATTCCTGATTTTGGTGCCCATTTATGTACAACCTGTTTCCTTACTGTGCCAAAACTTTATCTAATGAGTAACCTAAAAACTGGCAAATCCTTTCTCCCCCTCCAATTATCCCTTTCTCCTCCTCTAGTCTCCTGTTTTTACTACAAAAAGTGTATGAGTCAATGTGGTAAGTGGAAGGGGCTGAGCTTCAGCTCTCTGGTCTAGTAGATTTATGTTACGTTTGTCTTACATTTCTAATTTCCTCATTTGATGCTTTACTGTTTTTAATCGAGACATAATTGTAAATCTTTATGGCATCTACTGATAATTTACCCCATGGGTGTAATGACTATCCTATCTCTTGGGAAGATACAAACAACTCTCTCTCAGCTCCTCTTTAAAGTATGCAGTGAGTTACAATGTGCAATGTTCATCCTACAATGTGTACACTGGAACATTCAGAACCGCCACCTGTTACATAACTGTACCTTGTTGCCATTATGCAACCCCCACCCTCTTCTTAGTCTCCAGAGACCACTGTTCTATTATGCTGGCTTTTATTTGAATATGAGAAAAATTAGAGTCCTGTGCAACTATTCAGAAGAATATCTATTAAAAGTTGCCTCTTAATATAGGCTGTAATTAATTATTCGCCTCATGTCTATGAGTCACGTGTCTTTCCTTTTGGCTGGTAGTTCTTCTTCTTTTTTTTTTTTTTTTTTTTTACTTAATGTTATCCTTTACCCACAGGGCGATTCCCTCTTTAGGCTTCTGATATGTAACTTTGCACACACATTTTGGTATTTACTGCTTATCTATGAGAAGTAAATCTAGAATTCGGACCAGGCCAGGCCAGGCCAGTGGGAGAAATCACTGGCTGTGGAGTTAGCTGAAAGACTCCGGTTCAAGTCCCGGTGTTAACTCAACTGCATTACTACAAGCCTGTGTCTCCATCCTTGTATCTGACTTGCAGCCAGCATCGCCTGTAGGAGGTTGTGGTAAAGAGGGCCACACCTACTGGGAGCTTTCAGTGTCCTTTCCTTGATTAAAAAGATTTGGACTGGGTGGTGGTACATGCCTTTAAGCCCAGCACATGGGAGGCAGAAGCAGGCAGATCTCTGTGAGTTCAAGGCCAGCCTGGTCTACAGAGTGAGTCCTAGGACAGCCAAGGCTATACAGAAAGACCCTGTCTTGAAAACAAAACAAGTTTTTTTTTTTCTTTTGATTGCCCCCATTATTTAAAGCTATACACATACCTGATTATCTAAAGTAGCAGGACTTACTTAATTCAAGTTGTTGGCTGAAGATACCATTAATTTAAGAAACGTTAAATGAATGGGATCCAATCCACTTGTAGCATAATAATTAATATTTGAAAATCATTGTTTTCTACATACTTAAGACCTTGAAACTTCTTACTTTTAAAGATACATTAACATCCTTTGGTTATTGTTTTTGTGCTTTTGTTTCCTAATCTCTCTTCCCGAAAGTTCAATGCCGAAGACATAGTGTATGTGGTTGTATATTTACAAGTACCTGTACTTGGTATTTAAAGTGATAAAATTTTGCCACCCATGTTTTCAAAGATCAGTCATTACTACTGTGTTCTGCACTATCCCTGCCAGGAATACAGGTCAATGTATTACAAATGAAAAGCCATTTGTAAATCAGAGTAGTGGTTTAGCTCTAGCCTGACTGTGGCACAAACAATGAATGTCTCTTGTCCCACTGATGAGCTGCATGACCCTCTGGCAATCTAAGTTTCGAAAGTATCCCTTTCTTCATTTACAGCATGGGAATGCAAGTATCTTTGTGGTGAGAATTAGATGGAATAGTTTATGACATACACTCAGTATGTGTTAGCTGTTCAATGCACATTGATTATTATTATATTATTCAGTTGACCATCACCTCTGTCCCTGTGATTTGAGCAACAGATGTTGGGGCCATGATATAACCAGCTATTTACCTTTGGAGGAAAAATATCTAAGGTTATTGTTGCTTTGTGTTAGCATAAGGTAAAGTTCTTATGAACCTTCATGGTAAATAACTGCAAATACACCTCTGTGTGTATACGTACATATGTATATATGTGTGTGTATATATGTGTGTGTTTATGTGTGTGTGTATGTGGAGAATGTGTTATTATGAATTTACATGTTAGGCTAAAGTATAGATCACAATTTTATTAAGTGATTCTAAATTTCATTTTTAGATATTTGATTTAATGGATGCCAAAGCACGTGCTGACTGCATCAAAGAAATAGATCTCCTTAAGGTAAGTAATGGGCGCTTGGCTGTTTATTAATATTTCTGAACGTGTTGATAAAATAACTTATCATTTCGAAGTGAAACTATCTCTAAGGCTTGCTTAGTGACACACTTGTTTTTAGTAACACTGCACAGATTAAGAGTATGTGTGTTTTGGAGAATATAATTTTGATTTGTGGTAAAGTAGTTGAATCAGAACAGATAGATCCACGGCTCTAAAACACTGGAGAGGTTTTTTTCATAGAACCTTCTGTGTAAGTCCATCCTACTGGTTAAGTGATGGAAGTGTGTATTGGTGTCACGTCACAGTGTGTCTGTCACATTGAGAGCCTGGAGTAATCGAAGTTATTCACATTCATGAACGTTTTAAAATCACTTCTGCAGATTTGGGCAAACTGGATATCGACAGTGTGCCAGGAATTAGCATTTAGTTCCTTGTCCTCCTGAGAGTTCGATGAGGTTCCGGTAACCCGGACAGTGTTTTTTTGTTAGTGACGTCCTTGTACAGAATTGCGTCTCCTGTATTTATTTGTTTCCAGCCAGGTATGATGGGCCACACTTGTAAACCCAGCACCTGGGAGCTAAGACAGTCAGAACCTGAGTCCAGGCCAGCCTGGGCTGTGAAGCAGGAGCTTCTCTTTAAAGAAAAGGGAAAACTTGATGTTTTATACAACTGTGTATGTTCTTAAAATGTATCAGGTTTAACCAAAGTATTTCAAAACTATGCTTCCCACTCTTTCGCAGTTGAGGCACACACACACCTTTTAAAAATAGAAATAGTATGACTATGAACAGCATGGAAGAAAAACTAAGTATAAAAAAGTCATATATAATTTGAGAATTTCTCTTTGAGAAATTAAGTCTTGTGTTAACTTGTTTAAAGTTGGAACAGAAAAATTGTAAATTGTTTGGATAGATTGCTGCACATATTTCTACAAGGAGAGAGATTTTTTTTTTTTCCTTAGGGATGATCTTAGTCACATAGATAGGTTCCAAGTATTTATGTTTCTTGGTCCGTATTTAGATTTCGAGTAGTGGTTGTTAATTGTTGTTTTGATCAGTCTAGCTATGTAGGAACAGCTCTAGTTTTAAAAGTAAGAGTATTAAGTGATGCTTTTACAGTTGAATGTTCTTGTACGACAGTCCTCATTTTGAATGATATAATTTTGAACAAATTAATGATTCAATTCTACCATACCATGCCTACTACTCATAACTACTTAAAGAAAAAAAACTAGAGTACATCATTTACTATATCTAATAAAGTATTAAACTAAATTTATTCATATCTAGTTTTACTTTGAATAATTACATTTTAAAATTGACTAATAAAAATATGCTGTCAAGATATGTACAATTTAAAAATGAGTTGTCATAGCTAAATTGAAATTATTAAAAGCTTTTCATGATCCTGGAATTTAAAAGTTTTTGATTTCTTTTTCCTTAGCAACTCAATCACCCAAATGTTATTAAATATTATGCATCGTTCATCGAAGATAACGAGCTGAACATAGTTTTGGAATTAGCAGATGCTGGCGACCTCTCCAGAATGATAAAGGTAAGTTTGTTCCTTTGTTTGTCTTTCTGACAAAGCTGTCTATGGAATGTATATGGTGGTAGCTATTTTGTATTTGGATGTGAGCCTAGCTTTTAACGGCTGAGCCATCTCTGCAGCCCAGTGGTAGCTATTTTAAGGACCTCACTGTAAATAGCGTATAGAGTTGGAAAAGATGGAAATGGCCATGAAGTTGGCTTACTCAGCCGAGTTCCCCCTAGGTGTCTTACATTTCTAAACGCACCGCATCACTTCGGATTTGGGCTTAGAGACTTGTTTTCTGAAGCTCAAATGTTTCAGCTTGTCACTTTTGAGCAGCCTATCCTTGGCCCTTTGTCGTCGGACCTCAGGGAAAGGAAGGAAGGAAGGAAGGAATCCCAGACTGGAGAGATGGCTCGATTGTTAAAGACCTTGCTGCCCAAGCAAGGATGAGGAGCTGAAGGTAGTCTCCAGAACCTGTGTAAAAGGCCAGGGGCAATATTTATTGGATACCTGTTACCGAAAGCTCTCTGGTGCGGAGACAGAGAGGGGTCCTTGGAATCACTGGCCAGCTGATAGAGCTGAGTAAGTGAACTCCAGATTCAGTGAGAGACCCTGTCTCAAAATATAAGATAGGGAACAACTGAGGAAGACCTTAGCTTCTGGATCTTATACATGCCCATCCATGCTCATGTATGTCCACATATAGACACAATCCATGTGCATGCACGCGTGCATGCACACACATCACACACACACACTGACACACACACCACACACATACACACACCACACACACACATAGACACACTGACACACACACTGACACACATACGTGAAGGAAAGAAATCTAAGAGCAGCTTAGATGATGACCCGAGAGGGCTCCTCAGCTAAGAATTTGAATGTCAGTCTGACTGGAAAGCTATTTAGTGTTCTTCCTTAAGAACATATTGAGTTTATGTTCAGTTGCAGTAATAGAAACCTCTGAATGAACGTAAGTTAAAAACTGCTTTCCTTCCTCATGTTAACGTCTCTGTACCACTTTCTCTAAAATACAATTCATGGGGACATTGTAGCGATTAAACCCATTTGTGTTTACCCAGATTTTAGAATTGTGTTTCATGTTCAGCTTTAGTCCCTTGGCTAGAGTAAAGACTTATGGACGACAGCCTGCATATATAGTCTACTGACAGTGCTGGCTGAGCCTTTGTAATACCGAGGAAGATAAACCGGCCAGTGTGGGGACAAATTAAACCAACCAAAGAAGGAAAGCAAAGGTAGTTAACTGAGAACCAATGTTGTCTCCATTTTGGCAGAGACTTAAGGACCAAGGAGGACTAACAGCAATTGCAGAGGGAAAGGGAGTTATAACAGAGTTAGGAACGCTCTGGGTGGGAGCTCCTAGCGTAGCCTGGCTGTAGGTGAACTTGAAGTTTTGATTTTCTGGCAGGTTGCCATAGGTTGTGTTTTCAAGTTCTGCTTTTGTGAGGGGTCTGGGTATTGTCAGCTTGTGCATCAAGGCTTTGGACTGGTAGATTCTTGTAAATCACTAGTAATCTGTTGCTACTTACTGTAAGGAGAATTCCAAATTCTTTTAATCTGCAGCAGGATCCTGGGAAGTAAATGGCACACTTTCAGAGCATAAATACAGTTGCTAGTAAATAGCAGGCCTGGCATTTTTGCAATTAGGTCTCTTCGGTACAGTAATCCACATGTTTTCCTTTACCGGCTCTTCAGGTTCCTGTGTGGCAGGACTCTTTGATGACCAGGTCCAAGTACTTGATCATCCACTCAAAACAAACAAACAAACAAAACAAAACAACAACAACAACAACAAATGTGTCACAACATTTCATTTCATTACTAGATTTTCTGATCAAGGTGCTCAACAGTTAACTCTTTTAACCCCAGCAATTGGGAGGCAGGGGCAGGCGGATCTCTGTCAGTTCGAGACCAGCCTGGTGTACAAAGAGTGTTCCAGAACAAGCTCCAAAGCCACATAGAGAAACCCTGTCTCAAACCAAACAACCAACCAACCAAAGCACTTGGCTCCAGAATTGGGGCTGCAGTGTAGAGCACTGTAACTTACGTCACTCAAGTTCTTACGGAGCCCTTACCTGTAAGGTGAGCACACTTGGCTGGGGTTTTCTAGTTGCAACAGCACTGTATAAAATGAAGTAGAAAGGGCATGAGGTGAGTGACAGAGTACCTGCCTAGCCCTTTCCATTCCCAGCACAGGAAGCAGAAGAAGGTAATGTCATTACCACGCGAGGAGTTGGCTAAGCGTCTCATTTAAAGTGAGTTGCTTCCGACCCAGTTATCTGATTTTCTGTTTCAGGGACATCCCACCCCTTACTGAATCTGCCAACTGCCGAAGGATTTCTTTGCAAGTTAAAGAGTAATAAAACTTTATAGTCATTGCTTTAGAAAGAAACTAGGGTGTATGTGTTCCGTGTGTCCATAGCCTTCCAGTTGTTCGAGCATACAAAAGAGAGCTGTTGTTACAGAGGACTGCAAATTACATAAACCTAACTGGACTCTTTGTTGTTGTTGTTAAAATCACTTATGTGGGGGTGCTGTGGGAAAGAGGGTGAATGTTTGTCTCTAAGGAAGCTTCCGGACAAAAGAATCCTATGTGGGTGAGTAGTCCTCCTGGAAACAGACGGGTCCACTAAACTAAAACAGTCAGGTTTCTTACTGAAGTTTGCAGATGGACAGGGTGTGGCGGACTGTTTACCCGGGCTGGTGTTGGCGGGCATCCGTCAGCTCCTCGTGCATGGCAACTTAATGTACTTTGGTAAAATCCTAGACATTTTGTCCCTCCTCCCTCATGTGTGTTTAGTGTGCAGGCTTTCTCGTAGTTTCTGGCAGTGTGTGTCTCGTCTAGGTAGAAGGCCTTCTGAGGTGAGGGTTCCAGGTCCTTTAGATCTCTAGTATAGTGTGTGTGTGTGTGTGTGTGTGTGTGTGTGTGTGTGTGTGTTAAACAGCATGTTATTTCAGACTTAGCCAAATCGTTACGTTGTATTTAGAGCAATAATGTAATACTCAAGTAGGATTTTATTATGAATCAACACAATTTGGTACACATAGTTACATGCGCCTCCCCCATGTGATTTAAGCTTTGCACTTACCTCCTGTCTTAAATACGAAAGGCCTGTTTGTCTTTGATTTGTTTTCTCTGGTTTGCATCCATTAACATTTCCCAGAGGTAACTACCAACTTTACGTGCATCAATGATAGATGTGTGACAATATGTGTGTATGCTTTCTCCGGCATATCACGATTTAAGTACTACTTTGTTAGAGCACAGAACGCTCAGGCGTGAAACCTGGTGTACCCTGTTGCATCTCTCCATCTGTTTTCCATGGTTGTGTAGATGCCTGTGATATTGCTGAGTAACAGAGTCTTTGCATTCAGAGTCATAGAGACTGCCCACTTACTCTCCCAAACACTTTACACCATTTGATAGCTCCTTTTCCAAGGGGGATTAAAAAAAAACTCCATCTTTTTGCCCCTTGGTCATTAGCACATACAAGGCTTACATCTTCTTACAGCTCAGTATATACCACAGAAGACAGTTTCTAAACCAGTATTCACAGAAAGTTGTGTAACTCCTGTTGCAATAATGTATATGAAGGACTGGATTTCATCAGGGCATCTGGGAATGGAAACCAATGGCAATAAAAGGCTTCGAGGTCATGGGTGCTAGATGACCTTGACTTACGTTTGCTTACCCTTAAATGACTGAGCTACAGCTGCCATATATATATATATATATATATATATATATATATATATACATATATATATATATGTACATACACACACACACACACACACACACACACACACACACACACACACACACGATCCTTGTCAGTTCACTCATCCGGGATTCAGTTATTTCCATCTTGTGCCTGGAAGCAAACATGATCTTCTTACAGAGTATCCCTAAGCCCTCAAGTGGAGGCTCAGCTTGGGTGCATGCAGATGACAGCTCTTCTCTGATACTCCTCTCTCTCTCTCTCTCTCTCTCTGTCTCTCTGAACTATTTCAGTTTGTCACAATGTTCTGATCTTGGTTTGTTTGTTTTTGTTTTTTGAGACAGGGTTTCTCTGTGTAGCTCTGGCTGTCTTGGCACTCACTCTGTAGACCAGGCTGGCCTCACAAAGATCTACCTGCTTCTGTCTCCCGAGTGCTGGGATTAAAGGCGTGACCTTTTTTTTTTTTTTTAATGCATTTTAGATTTCTCTCCCCGTTGAGCTCCATTGCTCCTTTCTACAGCGGGAAATGTGCCATCTCTCTACAGGGCGGGAGCTTTTTGATTGACCCACCAGTATCCATCCTGCAAATCTATATTTCTTCATGAGTCTTTGGGTGTCAGGGAAGAATACGAACCCCGCTTTCCATCAGGCCCTTCCAGGGATTTCTCAATGACAGGAAACACTGGATTGTTTGGCAGCCCCTGTGGTACAGGAGATGATTTCCAAGGGAAGACTCTGAGTCTGTGTGTTCGCCTCCCATGTCCCTAGAACAGTCCTGACCCACAGTGATCACTTAACAAATGTATCCACTGGAACTCAGCTGTGATTCTCCCTTAGTCTCTGCAGAAGGACCATGACTGTTATCTTAGTGTTGAGGATGCCCCTCTTCATCCCTGGTCACTTTTCTGTCTCTTTATCCTTGATCCCTTTATGCAGTTAACAGTTCCGCTAGCCTTTCCCTTTGACTTCAAAGGTGCTTTTCTGCATAAATGTCTTTGGGCATATGCATTTATTCCCCTGGAGAGCGTTCTTCTCATTCATTTAGCAATGCAATCCCACACTGATGTTGCATGATTATTTTATTGATGTTTTCGTTTGCCCGAGACTTACTACTCCTTGAGCAGACTGTAACCTCTCTCTTCACTAGGCTGTCCTGTGCCTGGGGTTTCACATCATATATAACAGTTGGTTCTATTACCTTGGCTAAGCTTCCCTGTTCCCAGGGCCTGTATACGGCATGGGTGATGGTCTCCTCCTGAT